ATCCCTGGATATTACGGTCCCTCAATAAATTGTCCAAACGTTTCTTGAACAAATCTACACTCTTGGCTGAAATCACTGCCGATGGCAGTGAGTTCCAGACCTTAACCGCTCTTACTGTAAAGAACCCTCTTCGCCCATTGTGCTGGAATTTTTTCTCCACCAACTTTAGGTGGTGGCCTCTAGTCTTTGTAATGGAGTTAATCTCAAACAGTTTGTGGCCAATGTTGCTGTCACCATTCAACATCTTGTACATGAAAATCATATCCCCCTTAAGTCCAGCGAATTAACTATGCCCTTATCCTTAACAAATTTTACCAAATAGTCCTTAATTATACCTTCTAACAGTTTACAAACTACCGATGTTAGATTGACCAGCCTATAGTTGGCATCTAGCCCCCCTTTTTGAATATTGGAACTACCGTAGCCCTCCGCCAATCACATGGTACCCTACCAGTCACTAAGGATTCCTTAAAAATTAGGAATAATGGTCTTGTTATAACCTGGCTTAGTTCACTGAAAGTGACACAGAAGAGTCTGATGCACAGGTAGTGGAGAAAATTGTGTCCATGGGCAAGACTATGGCTCTGGACGTCGATGGTGCAGACATAGAGGAACTTGTTGAGGACCATAGAGAGGAGCTGACGACGCAAGAACTTACTGAACTCCAGAGTGAGCAGCAGAGCATTACACTGAGGAAGAAAGGGAGGAGGTTAGCAGTGATGTGATATCCGTGATGGAATGAGTGCCAGGATTTCTTTGAGAAGCACCACCCCCAACATAACTGTGGCGAACAGAGTCTTAAATCTGATGAACAACAACGTAGTCTCTCATTTCCAGAGGGTTCTGCAGTGCAGGAAAAAACAAGTGACAGACAGATTTTTCACCAAAATTGACCCTGCAGCTAAGAGACAAAGAAGAGAGGAAACCCCTGAAGATCTCCCCGATGTCCTTATGGAGGGGGACTCTCCCTCCAAACAATAACCTACTCCCCACCCACCTTTCGGTCCTCCATGCCAGAAGTCGCCCCAAGAAAGGTTAGTGTTCAATCTCTTCATACTGTACTTCATATTTTTGTGGTTAAAATCTTTTTTTTTCAATATGGCTCAGAACAGATTAACCTGATATTACATTGAACTCTATGGGAAAATGTGATTTGGTTCGCAACCAGAATCGTGAAACCAATTAAGTTTGTGAACTGAGGTACCACTGTAGTTACCCGTAAGTCCCAACTCTGGATTTCCCATAACATCTTCCAGGACAGCCTCACGAGAGGATAACCAAGAATCAGGGTGGGACCATAGCTTGTAGTACATTCCGACCGAATGCCTGATCCCCTGCAGTACTGAGATCTAAGCGAGAATGTAGAAAAATTCAACCATGTTGCCGCCTTGCAAATCTGTTCCGGTATAGCACCAGCTATTTCGGCCCAGGAAGTTGCTAAGGCTCTAGTTGAATGTGCATTTACGAGGGAAGGAGGCACATTCAAAACATTATACGTTTCCAAGATAGCCTGCCTTAACCATCTAGCTAAAGATGATTTGGAGGCCTGCTCTCCTCTAGATCTACCTGTGAATAGCACAAAGAGTGAGCTTTCGAAAATCTTTGGAAACCTTCAAGTATTGGAGTAGACAATGTCTCACATCTAAACAGCTGAAACTGAATTCCTTGCTACCTACCGAATTAGAACAAAAAGTAGGTAAGACAATCCCCTGAACTCTGTGGAAATTCAAAGCAACCGTCGGCAAAAAGGCAGGATCCATCCTAAGGATTATTTGATCCTCAAAAATTGACAGGAACGGCTCACTTATCCTACGGGCTTAAGTGATGGCCACAAGAAAAACTGTCTTCAAAGTAAGAGTTCTAAGCAAGGCTTCTTGCAAAGGCTCAAAGGAGCACCTGTAGCACCGCAGACAGACTCAGGAATTGTTGTGACCAGCACTGGCCTGATCCTTCTGGAGGGCTTTGAAGAATCTAGCTATAAGCTGGTTCTCTGCTAGTGATGAAAAATTTTGAGTGTGCAGCGCTATTAAAGTGAATAAAGTGTGATCCACTCTTCGGGTATATAAAAATTATATAAATGAGTTACAAACAAAGTTAATTGATCCTAAAGGGTAGGGAATGCTATAAAGTGAATATACAGATTTAATATATATGGTGACAAAATAATCTATTGTGTTCCAATGGCGGTGAAAAAATATATTTGTGAAATGCCACAACATAAACAATTGTTATATTCTTATATCCTCCTGGTGAAAAGAAAAACTGTGCATCAAATATCTAAAATTTTGTGCACGGTTATGTTGCCCGTGGACAATACAACTTTAAAACAATCCCAACTGGTGATTCATTTCTTATGCAAAAAACAAAGTATGTGATCGGTGATAAATTGAAGAGTGAGTCCAGTGAAATCTTCAGCACTTGTTTCAAGATGGTAGATTACTAAATAACTTATCCCCACACCAGCATGTATCAATGTCTCCAAACTGTCCCCTTTGGGGTGCGCACTCACCCCACAGCTGAGATAATAATGCGGAGATAATACATCAGAGGGTCCACATCCGAGACGTCTCAGCAGTGTTCCGTCCGTTGTATTTTTATATAATTAAAAAAGGAAATCTCCTCATGGTGCGGTAAGCATAAAGTTTATTATAAAAATATAGACAACTCAGTTTAAAAGCGAATAACCGGCCGGTATAGTGTAGCAACTAAATCCTCTGCTACTTCCTGGTATGGTATCAGTATGGATAGGCCCGCCCCGACGCGTTTCGTCACAATCGACGTCCTCAGGGGTTTGCAGGTCATCTTCACAAAAAATGTTTTCATCATCTTCACAAAATATAGCGCAGCAGCTCTCACATCGCACCCCATCCAGAAGCGCAGATTTTACATTGTTTCTTATCTCTGCAAGCGATACCTGAAGGAAAAAAAAGAGTGCCGACACCTGGACTTTAGGAGTACTAAGTGCCAACCCCTTATCTGCCCCCTCCTGGAGGAAATTTAAAATGGCTGGAACCCCAGAATCTGAGACACCTCATCCTCCACGAGAAACTTTTTCCACTCCTCACCATAGATTTTACACGTTACCGGTTTACGACTAAAGAGAAGCGTATCAATGACTTTACTGGAAAGACCCATGGCCCTTAAAATGTCCTCTTCAGATAAAAAGGCCACTAACCTGAATCTGAGAACCTGCAGATGCAGCACAGGTCCCTGGGAAATAAGATCTTGCCTGGTGGGTAGGATCCAAGGTGGGCAGTCCGTGAGAGCAGCAGTGTAAACCAGGCTCTTTTGGCCAGTAAGGTGCAATCAATACCAGGTCCGTCTCCTCCAACATAAACTTCTGAAGTACTTTTGGAATGAGATAAATCGAGGGGGAGACGTAAAGACAGAGGACAGGGCATCCACCGCCAGGGCGGTATCCCCTGGATGTAGAGGGGAAACAGCTTTAGGTTTGCATTCCCCACTGCAGGAAGGAAGGGAATCCAGCCTATCCCTTCAGCACTAGGAAGATTACTGGTGGCCACTATAAGCAGGTAGGAAAACTACCCATACCATTGTCCATGGAAGAAAAAAAACTTGTGCAGATCAGGTATCTCCAGGAAAAGGAACCTTCCAGGCCAACATCACCACATGGAAGCTCCGCTAGCATTCTGTGACATGCTCCCCAATTTGACCAAGGAAAGACTGAGGGACTGGAGAAGAGGCCTTTTGAAAGAGATTGTGTGACGTGTTTCCTGTGTTTGGGGGAGATTCCATCTCGTGATGCTGTCCTGGAAGACGTTATGGGGAAAACTTCCTCCATCAATGCTTCAAATGGCACCAGTTCCAAAACGGAATCAGCAACTGATTGGCTGCCAACTTCAAATCAGCCGAGAATTTTTTTTACCCGCTTGATAAACTGTTGAGGGATGCCAGGCAGAAGAGTACTGATAGCTGCACCCACAGTTAATTTTGGCCAGTTCAAAAACCAGCCAAAATTTGAAGTATATATACTTAAGAGCTTACTTGGTCTCCAAGCCTGGGAGCTATGGCAGATACCTGCAACTCCCCATAGACAATCACTCTGCAAGGATTTTGAAAACGAGTCATCAGATTGAGCATCTGCAGGTGAAGGATCAGAAGCCACTAAGGCAGCAGGCACATCAGAAATAAGGTCAAGGAAGTGGCCACACCCAAGAGTTAATATTCTGAGGCACGCAAAGGACAATGGTTCATGTTGTGTCAGGCCTTTGAGAGAGATCACTACAAGCTGCGCCAGAACTGTTTGCGGATCATGAGCCAGAGGACCCTGATAGAGCAGGACTGCTCCCCTTGTGTTTGGCATTTTAAATGCTGGGCAGGGACACTTTACAAAGAACAGCAGCAAAGACATAAAAAAAAAGAAAAGTGGAACACTGAGTCTTGATGTTAGGAGCAGTAGCATAAAGGTGCTACCTCATGCTGAATGGCAGACCAGAATTCAGAGTGTGCATCTGACACTGCAAACAGTGACCCAACACTCCGTTCAGTTTTAAACCTTTCCATGCAAACCACCCTGTTGAAGTAGCTACAGATACTCTGCCCACAAATGAGTACTTCAGAAAGTCACACCAGAGGCTGTGCCACGGCTCTTGACTTGGAACGCACTCCGCATCCAACATTATTCATGGGTCCAGAAAGTGCCTGAGACCGGTACCCAAAAGGTCACATTCCAGGTAGGCCCCACAGTCATCCAGTCCAGCACCGGCATCCAAACTGATTACTGAATGACCGCCCAAAGACTAGCTCAAGCAATGTGTAGTGAAGTTCGGGGGGGCGGGGGGAACAGTTATACCTGGTGATCATGCTGCTGCAATAACTTCAGAAAACCCAGTAGGGCCAAGGATTTAAATTTACCAATTCTTAGTACTTTGGAAAACCATTGAGAAATAGACAAATGAAAAGTGGGAAAAAAAAAACAAAAACCTTTTATTTAGAACATCGCATTTTCTGAAGCTCTGGAGAGCAGCTTTAGATGCATTTCACAGAAGCTGCATATTTTAGGAACAGTTGTGCAACAAAAACAGCCTAGTCCATGAAAGAATATCTGTGGCACACTGCCTCCATTCTGTAACTGGTATACTGCACTCACTTGTGGCTAGCAAAGTCTATGAGCAGTATTGCCATGTTTAGCTCCTAAAGACACCCTTTAATGGCAAGCCAAAATGATATGTACAATTGGGCGCTGGGCAGGTTTTTATTTTACATGTTCTAAAAAGTGGAATTATCTACAGCCATGCAAACTTCTGCTTCCTGAGGACACACTAAACAGGACAAGTTAAATTCATTGCACAAGTATATTTAAATTTTAGATACAAAAATGTTTCACTTTCAGATCAACAGGATATAAAAAGACATATGCTAGCCTACCAATGTGACTTAAAAACAAAAATGTTAACATGAAAACAAAAAAATTGTGGGAAGAGTGCCATAACTTCAAGTGGTCATTTAGCCATTCCGCTCCGGGCTTATGCTCCTCTTCGGGCTTCTGGATGGTGAACGACTGAAAAAGAAAAAAACATTTTTGTAAAGGTTTTTAAATCAAGTTCGTAATGGACATTGCATAAAGCTCTTGTAAATTAGTTTGTTTTTTTAAAGTTCCAAAACTGATTTTATTACTTTTTAAAAATAGTTTTCTGGATATAAAAACACTTCAACATGTACTTTTTGACTAACTGAAAATCTAAAGGCTCCATATGAGCTAGCAGACAGGTTAGCCGTTTGTCCTCGGGGACTCATTGAGCTGTGTAAACAGAACAAAATTACATTTGTCAGCTTTGTAAAAGTAGGTGCTACACCTCCCTGATCTAAAGTCAGCATGTTAGAGCACATGACCAACCACAGCTCTGCCGTTTATTGCTCATGCCTGTAAAATCTTTACTTTCAGTGAAGTCACTAATGCCATGGCTCCAGCATGGAGAACCAATGTGCAATGGAACCTGGAATTTATATTTTTTTATTTTATTACACATCTGGACACCCAATACCCATTTTTCTGAAGCCAAATAAAAGTCCCTTGTGCAAGATACTTGTCTCATTACTTTACGGTACATTACACTAGCTTGAGATAATAGGCACATGCAAGAACTTAATGACTTGTGTAGGACATCTTTATTTTGATGAGAATTTTGATTAAGTTGAAGTATGATAGATAAATACATACACTGAAAATCAGCATTTACCAATTTTAACCTCTTGCCGTCCGCCCGTAGTAAAAAAACGGACGGACGGCACTGCAGCATCTGCGGGTTGCCGTCTCCAGACGGCAATTTTTTTCTGCTCGCGCGCGCCCCCTAGCGGGCACGCACGGGCAGAAAAGACCCGCTAAATGCACACACCCGTTACCGGGTGTTTCACATATAGGCGATCGGCGGGTC